GAGGCTGAGGCAGAAGGATTGCTTGAGCCCAGGAGTGTGAGGTTGCTGTGAGCTAGGCTGACGCTACAGCACTCTAGCCCGGGCAAAAAGAGTGAGACTCTGTCTCAAAAAAAAAAAAAGAAATATAATGTACAAACGGGATTTTTTTTTTACAGCCTTACATTTTCTTGTGATGGCCACCATTTGTACACGGCAAACAGTGATGGGACCGTGATTGCCTGGTGTCGGAAGGACCAGCAGCGCTTGAAACATCCAATGTTCTACTCCTTCCTTAGTAGCTATGCAGCCGGATGAATGTGAGAGAACTTTGCATTCTCCAAAGCACTTTAGCTCCAAACGAGATTTGTTGACTTCACCAATTCTAAGAGGTTGAACCTGAAGAAATGGATGACTAAACAAAACATCCGAATAATGATAAAATCTATTCATCTGCACAAAATTCTAAAGCCTCAGAAGGTCCTGAGAAGGAAGTTCTATACTAATTTTGTGATAATCTGAAAGATTGTGTCAGTATGCACTAACCAACAAATTTTGAGTCTTGCATGGTAAATTAAAATGATATTCTTCAAGTTTTTTCCTACAGAGGTATTCCCAAGAAAAGATTAAGGCCTCCCCTTTTCCTATTATTCCAAAAGAGCCAGTAAAATTTAAATTGATTTGCTAATTGTTTCCATAAAATACTCTAAAATTTATATTTTAAAAGTGTTCTGCCCTGAGATATCCCCCCACATACACACACCCCAAAAAATGAAAGAAAAAAAGACAAGAATTTTCAGAACTTGATAATTGTTTTCCTTTGAGAAGCAAATAATTCAGTAGATGCCTCAGCACCCAACATTTTATGGAATATCTGGATACTAAAATGAAACTACTAATGAATCTCAATGTTACGCAGTTTTTGCCAGTTGCCTTCTTAGCTCAAAGGAGAAACAGAAGTTTTTGACAACCACAAACAAGAGTACAGGTATCTTTGATCTCGGACACATTCTGTTTCTTCATAAAATTTTACTTAAAATCTGTAACACTAGATATTGAATGTCCTTAGTTGAGTCACTAAGGTTTAAACACAATGATAAAGCTTTCAAAATCTGCCATACAGAGCATTGAATACTTACCAATTTGCAATAGAAAGCCTCCGCTATGCAAAAAGTTTGCACAGGTATTAATAATACAGCCAAGGTAAGGCATTTAATCTAATCTGCAGGAAGAATTATCTTCCCCAAAACAGAATTATAAAAGAAAAGGAGACAGCTTACTTTGTTTTAAACAGGATGCAGAATAATTCTTTTAGGAAACCATTTTCATTCTGTTTCTACTAACCTATGAGAATTCTAGGAACAGTAGTAAAATCTAAATATACTCCACAGCAAGCTTACACACCATAAAGACAGAATTCCTAAAAATCTTGGAATAGTCTGTCTCTACTGTGATATTACGGCTATATTTTTACTTGGGGTGCTGCTTTATTGGCTTTGAAAACACTGTAAAATAAGCTCAGTAATATGTTACCATGGGATAAAAATACATATCCCTACCTAAGAATAACTTACGCATTTATTATGGAAATTTAATTCATATGGTGTTTACAGAACTACTTTTGTAACTTCCAGACTTTCTAAAACATTCTGCTTAAAATGCTATATAAAATACAATTCCAAAGTCTCTGCTGTCAGGACAGATACAAGAGAAAGCAAGTGACCACGTATGCTTTTAACCTTAAACTGCATACACCTGTAAGGACACTTAACAGGCTGCATTTAGATCATGGTTTGCTCAGGCAAGGTGTTAATTCCGAGGTCCGTCTAGGTGCAGAGATGAGATTATTCTTATTCACGTTGAAGTGATTTGCTTTGTTTAAGAAAAAAATGCAGCTATTGTCTAGCTTTCATTTTTTTACTGAGAACTTAAATTAGTTCCCTATTAGAATAGGGTTGCTACTCAGTCTTTTTTTAAAGCCGAATTTCATCATTTATCTAAAGAGAAAATATGCAAAATAACTGGTCTTGTTAAGAGTGCAATATTATATTTTTATGTACAAATAAAAACTAATTTGGGGGGATTATTTATTCAGCATGAAACCTAATATGTATATGTTTGAAACACTTCATAATGTGCATGTTGTAGCAAACATTTCTGTAAATTATCACAAGCTCTGTTATCTTTGTATACATTGCCACTTCAATTTGGAAATAAATTTCATAAAAATAGATTTGAATACCTATTCTTCAAACTATTTAAATATTATGACCAGATGTCAAATTGATGGTTTTTTTTTTTAACTCACATAAGTTCTCTCTTTAGTTCCACTATAAATTTAAATCACTAGGAAAAGATAACTTTCATTTCTTATTGTGCTTTTTGTGTTAAATTTTATATTTCAACCTCTAATACCCTTAAATGAAGTTTATACATGAGTCCCAAGATCAAACCACTCATTTTAAAGAAAAGAACATCTGTCCCACCCCACAAAGAAGATCTATACTGAGCCCCTGCCGTGTGCCAGGCACCATAGTAAGTGCTGAGGATATAGTCTTGCAGAAAATGGAGTTGTTCCCACACTCCTGAAGGTTACAAGCCAGGAAGAAACCACTGTAAATACCATAAGTGACACACAATATGTACCCGTTACAAACTGTAGTAAGTGCTGGGGAGGGAGAGTGTAGGGTACTCTGAGAGAATATAAGAGAATGAATTCAGTTTAGATCAAGGTGATCTAGAAGCCTCTTGAAAAGTTGAAATTTTTGTTAAAACCTAATGGACGAATAGAACTCTGACAGGTGCAGACGGGGCAGATGTGTTCCAGGTGACACATGTGCAAAGGCCCAGTGACGAAAGAGTATCCCGTAAATGCCTGTACGTGCGAGGGTTGCTGGTGGGTGAAGTCAACAACAGCAGGCCAACCCCAGGATGGAGCTTTAGTTTTCTGCTTTGCATCTGTGGTTTTTTGTTTGTCTGTTTTCTCCCAGAGACGGTCTCACTCTGTCACCCAGGCTAAAGTGCAGTGGCGTGACCATAGCTCAGTGAAGCCTCGAACTTCTGGGCTCACTATCTCCCACCTCAGCCTCCAGAGTAGCTGGGACTACAGATGCCCACCACCATGCCCAGCTATTTTTTTTTCCTTTTCCTTTTTAGAAAGGGGTCTCACTCTATTGCCCATCCTGGTCTCGCACTCCTGGGCTCAAGCAATCCTCCCACCTCAGCCTCCGGAGTCACTGGGACTACCAGCGCATGCCACCGTGCCAGGCTTGCATCTCTGGTATTTTAAAGGTTCTTAAGACTAGAACACTCCTATTCCTAGGTGTCTATCCCCAAGAGAACTCAGCAGCACCATTTTATCAGTTTAAGCCTGCCAACCCCGAAGCCCCTCCTTACCTCCAAGTCACAGTTTGACCCGTTGAATGCCAGTTATGGGCAAGCCCAGTGCTGGGTGATGGGTGGTGGGGGGAAGCAGGGAATTCCTTCCAGCTCTTTAGAGCTCATAGCTGAGAATCTGTTTCTGACCATTTTGGATGACTTATTAATGTTCTGAGGCAAAAAAAGAAGAGCTACAAGGCCAATGTTTAGAAAAGTAAGTAGGGAGGAAAGAAACTCAACAGGTTAACATTTATTTTATCAATAATCTCCAAAAGAGGTTAGCTTGAGACTGACATGATTGGAGTTCCTGGATTATCCACATTAAAGTCCCCCATTCCTAACTGATTGCCCTTCAGATGCTCCCAATTTGTCTCATATTGGGGACGAAATATACCAGTTTGTTCCCAAATTGTGCCAATTCTTGAACAACTGTATTATTTTTTTCAGTGTATTCCTCAGGGTAACACTCCACATACTATGAAGCCAAAGGACTTCAAAGTTTAATAGGCTTAAAACCTTTAACCAGAAAGACCAACGGGAAAGCCTTACCAGTTGGAGGGTAAATGGAGGAGGAAACGAAACAAAGTGTTGCCATTTGAAAGAAGAATTCTAAACTGAAGTGAAAGGGAAGCAAAAGAGGTTTTGGGTTCAGCACAAACTGCTCTTTTGGAGTATCACATAAAAAGTTTCATATTACATGCAGCATTTATCAGGTATTTCCCCCAGTGTTATTTCCAGTTTTAAATGCCACAACAAAGCAGCTACGTTTGCCAGCACAAAAAATATACACATATACGTACATTGAGTTGGGAAAGAGGTGCCACCAATTTTATTGTGTGTTATATGACATGAACAGAAAAGTGTATACTGCCACTTTGGGGACACTGGGTTACAACTCAGCTGTTTGAGAGAAGTTAAATAATACAATATGTCCTTTGAGGCCAAAATGACTAGGAGATCATTTGAGACTAGGCTACAATATTCTTGCTCAAGAGCTGAGCTTGTTTCTTCCCTCATGAATAAAGTTAATGAGAAATGCATTTTAAAAAGATTGTTTTGTAGCAAAATTTGGCTTATTTCCAAAGTGAATTAAACTGGTCTTACCAAAACTTCCGAAGGCTGGCAACAATGAACCATTCTTTCACCCTTAGATTTTTTCCTTTCTTTCTTTTTTTATTTTAATAGATTCAAGTTGAATTCCGTTACGTGTATATATTGTATAGTGGTTAAGTCTGGGCTTTTAGTGTAACCATCCCCCAAGTAGTGTACATTATGCTCCATAGGTAATTTTTCATCCCTGACCTTCCCCCCTTTTGAGTCTCCAGTGTTCATTATACCACTCTGTGTGTCCTTGTGTAGCCATAGTTTAGCTCCCACTTGTAAGTGAGGACATGCAGCATTTGTTTTTCTGTTCCTGAGTCACTTCACTTGGGATAACAGCATCCAGTTCCATCCAATTTGCTGCAAAAGACATTATTTCATGCTTTCTTTTTTTTTTTTTTTTTTTTTGAGACAGAGTCTCACTGTGTTGCCCGGGCTAGAGTGCTGTGGCGTCATCCTAGCTCACAGCAACCTCAGACTCCTGGGCTCAAGCAATCCTTCTGCCTCAGCCTCCCGAGTAGCTGGGACTACAGGCATGCGCCACCATGCCCGGCTAATTTTTTCTGTATATTTTTAGTTGTCCGATTAATTTCTTTGTATTTTTAGTAGAGACGGGGTCTTGCTCTTGCTCAGGCTAGTTTCGAACTCCTGAGCTCGAACAATCCGCCCGCCTCGGCCTCCCAGAGTGCTAGGATTACAGGCGTGAGCCACCACACCCGGCCTATTTCATGCTTTCTTATGGCTGAGTAGTACTCATTGGTGTGTGTGGGTGTGTGTGTGTGTGTGTGTGTGTGTGTGTGTGTGTGTGTATTACATTTTCTGTATCCACTCATCCATTGATGGATGCTTAGATTGATTCTATATCTTTGCAATTGTGAATTGTGCTGCAATAAACATGAGTACAGGCACTTTTTTGATACAACAATTTCTTTTCCATTGGGTAGATATGCAGTAGTGGGATTGCAGGATCAAGTGGTAGTTCTACCTTTAGTTCTTTGAGAAATCTCCATACTGATCTCCATAGAGGTTGTACTAATTAACATTTCCACTAATAGCGTATAAGTGTTTCTTTTTCACTGCATCTGAGCCAACATCTATCGTTTTTTGACTTTTTAATAATGGTCATTCTAATTGAAGTAAAATGGCATCTCATTGTGGTTTTAATTTGCATTT